AAAAAAGGAGGAGGATTGGCAATAGATGTTAGCTCAGAGCTGGTCTTCCTCAGCAAAAAGAGGAGGATTAGCATGGATGTTAGCTCAGGGCTGATCTCCCCCCTCCCCAAAAAAAAGGAAAGGCAAGGCGGAAGTTTGTCTACAAAAAAGCTACTCTACACTTCACCTCCTGTCACCCAGGCTCATACTCTGAGTGTCTGCTTTGGTTCCTCTCTTTCCCCAGCCTGAGTCCATTCTTCAGTATCAACATTTAATGCTTTTGTTTCTATACAACCTGCCATTCCCTAATTCTGCCCTTGAATCAATTGCAAGAAGTAGCTTCCTAACTGGCCTCATAGCTGGTAGTCTCTCTCAGAACTTTCAGAACTCCCTGGAATAATATTAACATAATGCTTCCTAAATATCTAAATCATGACCTAAATCCAAAATCTAAACTATTTCCCTACAAACTCTTTGGCCAAGCCTTGAAGGCCTCCTCCTAACCCGACTCTGGAGCTGACTTCCCATCACTTTCACGAACACCTTTCTCCAGCCAAAACACTCGTGTGTGCGGTGTCCCCAGACATACGATACCCATTTTCCTGCCTTTGTATACGCTGGTCCCTCGTCTAAAGAAGCCTGCCTCCAACTCTCCACCTATAGAAATCCTGCATATCCTACTAGGTCCAGCTTAAGTCTTACCTCTTTACCTGTCCATTCTAGACAAAAGCAGTTCCTTCCAGCTCAAAACCCCATTAAATTTTCTTCAGGATCACCATCTTTTAGCATTTACCTTTGCTGGAGGAGCTCTTTTGCTCACACAGTTTCTGTAACTACCTTTTAAGCTCATTGTCCAGAACATGTGGCATCCAGAATATTATTCTGCCTTGAATATCCACTTCCCCAGGTAAACAGGAAAGCAAAATTCTCTTACACAAATTTGGGGGTTGAGAGTTGGAGAATACTAAACTCATGCAAACACCAATTTCTGACCTCTCTCTTCCCCTTCCAGGTAGCGGGAGGGAATAAAGCTGGATCCTAGTGATAAATAAATGGCAAGCAATAGGATATATCAGAGCATATGAGGAAGCCATTTGGGGTAAAACTAGTTCTGCCTGAGTTTGTTTTTCCAACAAGGCCTGTCGCCTTTAAACATGCATTGTGTATCCGCTTTACCATGTCCCAAAGAGAAGAGTAAATGCCCTTAAGATAAGAATGCAACTTCCCCCACATTGGCATTTCCTTAAGGATAAGTATTTCTCACTAGGCTAGGATTTGATTGCTGCACTCATCCTGTGACCGCCCAAATAGAGACAGCAGACCTGCTCCCCGCTGTGTCCAACAGCTATTCTGCCAGGGCTATTCTGGCAGGGCAATCTTGTGGCTATTGTAAAAGGGACTTTGCCATCATATGTGATACATGTTCTTTGACAGTATATAATGCTCTGTACACCCCACTTCTTTGGTGGCCTTCCTTCCTTGGGGAAGGAAGGCCCAGGCTATGGTCCTCAAAAGTTGGCTCATAATAAACTCACCCCAATTTTGAATTATAGATTATGGATTATTTACATGGACACTAGGATAGGTGATACACCTACTGGTTCTAGTTTTTTCCACCCTAGTATTCAGACTTTGGGTAACCAAATGACAGACCGAGACCAGGACCTATAAACGTCTAGGAAAACCTAGGCCACTTCCATTTTCTGAGGTTCTAAGCATATTGAAAACTGAAGATGTGCTAAATTTTGTGGGTTACAAAAATTGTAGTGTGTTTGAAACCTTTCCATCGCACCACTGTTTTCTCCTAATCCTGTCGGGTGTCTCTGTGCCCTTATGTCTAATCTAACTTCAGGAAACATCACAAATTGAAAGTTGAAATAACCTTGGATTATAGTATTCTAGACTGGGTTTTATGTTGGGTAATGAGGCCGCTGCAGTCTGCTGGGCCCAGAGCGATGACTCTGCAGGAACGCCGGCGCCTTGTTACACAGCGCTGTGCACGACTCCAGGCCGGCCCGCAGAGCCGCTGCGGCTTCCGTCCCGGCCCCGCACTAGCAGAATCGGGGAACTGGCCCTTCCCGAAAGCCCTCCCAACCTCCCACCTCTTCTGCCGGCTGCCATTTGCCCCCTCAGCGAAGGGAACGGGATGCCCGGCCCGGGGACCGGGGCCCGGGTCCAGGCACCAGCAGGGTCCGGACCACACACGATGGGACAAAACGCCAGGCACAGCGCCCACTAGGGCACCACTGCAACCAGGCGCGGGAACGTACCGTGGACCGGCCCGCCCCAGGGCGCGCGCGCCCGCAGTTCCCTATTCCGCTGCGGCCCGCCCCTTTCTTCCCGCCCAACCAAGAGCCACTTCCTGCCTCACTTCTAGCCAATCCCCACACTCCACGAAGAAGAGCCCTAGGGGGCGTAAGGGAAGGTGCATAGAGCGAAGGCCGCGCCGACCAACCGGATCTCGGAGCTTGCGCGGGGGGGCGGGATTTGGTGCTGGCCGTAACTACTCAGGAGCGAGGGGCGGACGCAGGGCCGGGCTTAGCGCACTGGGGCTCGCTCGCGCGGCAGCAGCGGTAGCCGAGGCCTCTTGCATCTGCGGCACGTGACGGTCGGGCCGCGTCTGCCGCTGTCTCGGTTGCGGCGCGGGGCCAGGTGTGTGGACGGGAGGAGGAGCGGGTGCCGCCGGCGGTCCCCGGAGGCTCGAGGTGAGACGGGAGGCCTGCGCGCGTCCTCGGTCTCTGAGGACCCTGGGGCCTGGGTGCGCGGCGTCGCGGCCGAGGGGCCAGGGGGGCCGGGCGTGGCCGGGCCAAAGGGTCGGGCTGGGTTTCCAGGGCCCAGGCCCCGGCGGAGGCGCCGGCCGTGAGCTCGAGGCCCGAACCTGGGCCACTTCGGTTAGGGCGCCGGGCCGAGGCCGCGCGCCGGCGTCGGGAGGCGTGGCAGGTGCCCTGGAGCGTCTCTTGACCTCTGGGAAAGCTAACTTCGTCCCATGGCTTTGCTTCTAGGGCTTTCGTAGGCCTTTTGCTGGCTGCCTGGGAAGCCGCGAGGTGCGCTGAAGTAACCGGGTAAAGGTCTGGAGTGGGCTCGGGCCTAGTCGGTACCCCTAGGGGTGGGGAAAGGTGATATCGGACCGAGAGAGAGTATTTAGGATTAGCATTACAGGTTCAATATCTGAGAATAAACCGCAAAGCGAAGACTGGACCCTAGCACCCTGAAGAGTATGGAGAATGTACTAGAACACGCAGTGGTTGGAACACTTACGTCCTAACATTTACACCTAATCGGGAGTGGGGAGTAATCCAGTTGGAAATTCACCGGACATTAAAAGCAGGAAAGCACCGAAAAGCTCACTGTGGGTAGGTCGTTTTATAGTGGAGGAAACTGAGGCCCAGAGCTCTGATATGACTGGCCCAAGGTCATGCGATTAATTTTTTTTTAAAGATTTTATTTATTTTATTTTTCCCCCCAAAGCCCCAGTGGATAGTTGTATGTCGTAGCTGCACATCCTTCCAGTTGCTGTATGTGGGACTCGGCCTCAGGATGAACGGAGAAGTGGTGCCTCGATGCACACCCGGGATCCGAACCCGGGCCACCAGCATCGCAGCGCGCGCACTTAACCACCAAGCCACAGGGCTGGCCCCATGCGATTAATTTTATGATCCCGTTGGGGTTATGGTTGAGAGCTAGACAGTTTTGGTGTAGTGGTTAAGGTGAAGGTCCTTGTTCAAGTCCTTCAGTAGGTCATTTGTTGCTATGTGAACTTGGACAATTTACTTACCCTTTGTGCCCCAGTTCTCCCTAAATAATGGATATAATAATAGCTGATGGAGTTGTTAGAATTAAATTAAGATGTATATAAAATAGGATAGGGAAATCTGATACATATTAACTGCTCGATAAATAATGATTGCAATAAATAATTGTAGTTTGAATAGTTTGTCTACTACACTGATATCATAGTCTTTGAGTTGGGTAAGTCCTATTTTGCAGGACCTGAAGTCACATTTATGGTGATGGGAGGAAGAAACTGGACCTAGTGGATTAACTGTTGGGCATGACACAAGTGATTGCTGGTTGAGGGAAGTTAAACTTGAGCTGAACATTAAAAGCTTGGGAGGACAAAGGTGAACCACAGTTAAGTCTCTTTACCTCTAATTTAGGAAATGGAACATTTTGCTGAGTTTTTTAATAAGTAGAGTTTTGGGGGTTTTTTTAAGGGAAGAATTCTATTAATCTTTAAAAGCATTCTGTATCATCTTTTTCCAGCCATATTTGAGGGTCATGAATAGAATCAGTGCTATGTTGTGCATTTGCTATAATTATATTTAGAGCAGAGGTAAAGAACTGTGTGAGAGTTCTCCTTTGCACCAGCCAGGGTGCACATGCAAACAAGCCAGGTAACAGGATCATGAGAAGGCAGGAGTGAACTGTGTACTGGAGTGAATGTATCACACAACAGACACATTTTCTGACCTATCTGAAAATGGGTGTCAGCATCCCTCCCCACATTACTATCTTAACTTGTCAGTTCAACTAGTACATTATCTTCAAGGACCACAAGGGGTAAACATTTTGACAGAAGTAACTATAGTTTTGGCAGTCAGGCTATTGCATCCTTTTAGTTAGAGTTCACTTTGCCCTGCGAGATAGCTTAAGGGAATGAAGTGGTAGTTGGTAAGCATAAATGTAGGCTCAACAGGCTTGAATTCCAGGCCCAGCGTGGTAACTAGTTTATGAACCACCTTGGTTTCCACATCTTTAAAATGGAAATGAGAAGTCTCCTGGATCCTTTACTATTAGGGGGCTATTGAGAGGGACAAATAAGATGGCGAACATGATACTACTTTGAATAGTGTAATGAACTGTGCAAATAGAAGAATTGGCAGCTCATAAAAACTCCTAGGAAATAATAAAAGTTCCTGAACGTAGTTGTAGCCTATATAGCCTACTCTAGAACTTTGTCAGGAAAGTGCTGATGAATGCTTTGTTACCTGCAGCAGATTTGCTTTTAAATTAATCTTAACTGTGAGCTGTGAAAATTATTTGGAGAATTTTGTTTTTTAAAGAATTTTTAAGAATCTTCAGCAATATGTTTTGAGTATTCACATCTTAAACTTACTTAGTTTATAGCAAAAAAGAAAGTGCTATGGAAAAACCAATTCTAATGTTCCTGTCAATGAGAAACAAAATTCAAAACTGTAGACAAGGCAGTATATGTCTATTTTTAAATGGCTAAGCATTTACAGTGGTCTTTACTTGTTTTCCTCTTTAAGTGCTTTTATTTTTTGACTAGATGCGCATGTAGTAAAATCAGAAGGTGCAAAAAGTAGTAGTAAAATGGTTTGTCTGTGACTGGAATCAAATTCCTTTTAACTGGTTCCTTTCCAATGTAAGACTTAAAATTTCTTATTTGCCTTAAAATTCAGAGTTTTAAATTTTATTTATTTTATTTTTTTCCCCCCAAAGCCCCGGTAGATAGTTGTATGTCATAGCTGCACATCCTTCTAGTTGCTGTATGTGGGACGTGGCCTCAGCGTGGCCGGAGAAGCAATGCGTTGGTGCGCGCCCGGGATCCGAATCCGGGCCACCAGCAGCGGAGCGCGTGCACTTAACCGCTAAGCCACGGGGCCGGCCCAAAACTCAGAGTTTTAGAACCATTAAAACTTAAATGGTGTCTCTGGGCAATACCTAGTAATAGTAGAAATCACTGCTTATGTTGAGCATGTACTGTAAGCCAGGCACTGTCATAAGCACTTTACGTGCATTTTGTTATACAACCACCCTAAGAAGTATATATAGTGTTGTTATTCTCATTTTAGAGGTGAAGAAACTGAGTAATTCACCCAGTGTGCCAAGTTATTAAGTAGCTGACAAGGGATTATGACTTTTGGATTCCTGCTCATAAATACTACTATATGTCTTAACTAGGACTTTGGACAGTTTATGTAAATTCTCTTAGCCTTAGTTTCCTCATGTGTCAGATGGAGATGATAGAACCTCCTGGGGTTTTTGTGAGGATTAAATTAGACAACCTAAGGTATCTAAACCTCACAAAACTTAAAATTTGAAAAGAGTATATTAATAGATGAATGGATAGCCTGTGTGAAAGAAAGACTGCCTCCTTTGTTATTACACACTGCCTTTTTAAAAATCACTTTTTTTTTTATTTAAACAAGCAAGAACATTAGCTAGGTCATTTCTTCTGTTCCTCTGTCTAATTTTTCCTGGATTAAAGGAAGTAGAGTTGAAATTTCCTGACTACTTTTAAGAGAAAGTCCCACAGAGAAAAGCCCAGAACCAAATGGCTTCACTGGTGAATTCTACCACATACTTATGGAAGAATTAACACCAATCCTTTACAAACTGTCGCAAAAAATAGGAGAGAGGAGAACAATTCCCAACTCATTTTATGAGGCTGATGTTACCCTGATACAAAACCAAAGACTGTACAAAAAAAGGAAAACTGTAGACCAATATCTCTTATGAAAATAGGTGCAAAAATACTCAAAATGGTAGCAGACAGAATCCAGCAACATATAAAAACAATTATACACCATGACCAACTGGGATTATCTCCGGGAAGCAAGGTTGGTTCAGCGTACAATAATGAATATAATATACCACATTAATAAAGGACAAAAACCACATGATCCTCTCAGTAGACGCAGAAAAAGCGTTTGACAAGATGCAACACCCTTTCATGATAGAAGCGCTCAACAAATTAGGAATATAAAGGAACTTCCTCAACCTAATTAAGAGACAAAGAATCCCTTCCCTGGGATTTCTGTTCATCTTTCTAATTTCTCTTGGATTAAAGGAGTTAGGGTTGTAATTTCCTAACTTCTTTTAAGAGACAAAGTCCCACAAAGAAAAGCCCAGAACCAAATGGCTTCACTAGTCAGTTCTACCACATATGTAGGGAATAGTTAACACCAATCCTTCACATACTTTTCCAAAAGATAAAGGAGGGGAGAACACTTCCCAACTCCTACTGTGAGGCACATGTTACCCTGATACTAAAAGCAGACAGAGTTCACAAGAAAAGAAGAAAAGAGAATAATATCTCTTATGAAAATGGTTGGCAAAAATAGACTTGAAACGATAAAATATAAAGATTTAAATTTAATAAACTTAAAAATAATTTGAGCTCCATTTGTTTCAAAGATCTTTTTTCTGAGTGGACCCTTATTGAGGATGAAGTTTCTGCCTTTGAGAGGTGACAGATTTAATATTTCTTTAATAGTGTTTGCCTGTTCCTAAGGTTGATCTAAATAGTTGTCTGCATTTGCTAAAATTTGATGCAGTATGTGTCTGTTTCTGTTAAATAGAATATTTTGTGTTCATTTGAAGTCTTATCTACGTTATTAAATGTGTATAGTAAAATAGTATGGACGTTTTTTTTTTAGAATGTGTTCCGAGATCAGTATTATCATTAACCAAAAATGAATTAAATTTAGGAGAATTCATGAAGAAAAATAATTAATGACAGAACAGGAAAAAAATCACAGATAAACATGGACATTTCTATATCCAAATGCTATAATTGTATATATACCATTGCAGGGAAGAGTTAAAGGAGAAATCATATAATGCAGTTGGAGGAAAGCGAGTTTTTCTTGTTATGTAAAATCATTCAGCTTTCGGGAGCTGGCCCTGTGGCTTAGTGGTTAAGCTCCGCTACTGGCTGCCCGGGTTCAGATCCCGGGCT